CCAATTAGCCGCATTTATTTAGTGACTGCGTACCAAGAGACGCTGCAGACTCAATGCAAACCTTAACTTTTCTGCTAGACACTTACCTAGACATCATATGCTCTTTTTTAAGGTGGTGCCTGTGCCCCATTGCTTTTGCTGTCTCTCTGTTTGGAGAGATAGCAAACGTTACATTGTTTTTATTCTTCTTATTTTTTCCTCTGTTCCTGAAAATACATTGAAAGGAATAAAATCATCAGCAAAAATCAAGCAGTACTGAATTTATCAAGCGCCCATGAGTCAAACATGTGAATCGCTAATATGGATAGGTCATTGTTATGGAGTGCTTATAGATGTATTTTCTGCATCCAGGTCAGATGATACAGGGTAGAGTCCCATTAGTCTCTTTTAGAAAGAAACCACAGACCACTTCTGTACTGTTATACCACCTTGTTTTTCATTTACAACCAAATAAAAATGTGGCTATGTTTTAAATATTAGTGTATTGGTTTTATTTCTGCTGTATTCCATTTGTTGGCTTGTTCCCATGTGTATACACTTCTTGAGTCTGCCATCCATTTATTCCCTCTGCCTGTAATATTCTGGTGTTATCATTTCGTGAACCATCTCCTGATGCTTTCCGGGCTCGACAGGAGAAACTCTAGCTGAGGCTGGGCTCCCGGTTGGAGGTTGGAGCATGACTCCTCTAGCTGGGCGCCGGGAGCTGGGAAAGGGACACACACAGGGGCTGCAGGTCTCTATCAACGACTTCTGTGGCTGTGCCTATCTCTGAAGGTCTGTGAGGAAGAAGCTTCTTTTGGATCACATGTGTCTCTTCAATGTCATAGGCATTTGTGAACCAAAGGACCCCATTTTATTGCTGTGGACACTTGTATCTTGACAAAGGTCCAGGCCCTTGCAGCTGCAGTGGGTGGAGGCTCCAGCCCCCCAAGATGTGCCTGTGACTCAAGAAGGCTTTGCTGGCGGCAAGTCTTTCATTGGTTTTGTTGACTTCCTGAGGCAACTTTGACTTCAGAGCCTATTTTGTTGGTCTCAGCATCATTCATTAGCATTTTCCTTCCCACTGTGGGTATATATATAAAGATGTCCTTTCATTGCCTCTCGAGTATAAACATACTAGGGTGCTTCTTGCAAAAGGACTTTTATGTATTTATAAATCGAGGTCATTGTGGTGCAAGCGGTTACTTGAGTGCACTGTGCATGGCTGCTGTTTTATTTATATACAGGGCTACATGACTGCATCTGTGGAATGGCAAGTAGCTAAGGCTTCTTGCACCACTCAGACAAAATAAAGTGAAGTAATCAACAAAGCAAGCGCTGCTCATGACAGCCCATAAGGAAACTGAAATGCTGTGGAAATTTATTAGAGGGTGTCTATGTAGCGAAGTGCCCAAACTGCAGACAGCTGGAGCGGTCTGGCTGAAGAGCAGAATATTTTTACTTCATGGCATTTGCAAGGTGCTACGGGGCAGCTTCTCTGTTCCCGCTCCCCTGGGAGTGGAGTGGGCTTCCTCCTGCCACTGCCGGCATCCCACTGGGAGGGTCAGGTGAACCCAACCCTCTCAAGGCACAGCAGTGGCATTTCCTCACTCAGGGTCTGCAGTCTACATTTCCTGTTTGGCTGTGTAGAGACTTCTCCCTCACCAAAAAAATCTGTGTGCAACTTTTAAATGACTTCTGTGTTGATGTTGCTTCATGCAAAGGTTGCATTTGCAGGACATGGGATCCAACAGGACAAGTCCATGTGATGTGGAAGAAACATTACCCCAGATACCAGATATTTCTTTTTAATTGCCTCCTGGTTTGTGACATTTGCTGCTCAGATATCAGATATTGCTAGATACTTAGGTTTGAAGAGAAGCTGAGATAAAGATTCAGTTCCTGGGACTGTGTTTAAGAAGAATCCCAAGTATCGTAGAATTTATAGTGAGCTAGCTACACTGGGAATTAAAATATCTTTCTGATAGGATATATTATGGCATGTCTAGCATAGAAGTGCTGTGGGTTTTCGATTTATTGCTTCCTACTTGTTCTACAAAATAGAAAATTTGGATTAGTGTGTGCACTAAAGAGCTGCTGGTGTAAAGATCCGGGTCTTCCACCCTTTGCTGTCGTACTGGGGAGTGATGTGCTGACTCCAGAGACAGACTGGGATAAATCAGCAAGGTTAAGGACTGAACAGGGAAATCCTACTGAGAAACACCTCCTTGACCTTATTATGCAGCCTCTGGGAGCTCCAGCTCAATCAGCTGGGACAGAGCAGAGAATTGCTATTTGTATGGCATCCTACATGTTATAATGACTGGTTTGTATTTTATTAAAGCAGAGCTACTAGCGTCTGGGACAAGGGTGTTTACTGTGTTGGCATGACCGAGACCAGGCTCACTCCGTTACATTGCACTGCCGCAGGGTGCAGCGTGGCTCTGAAGACGGGGCCGGAGCTACTGGGCATGACTGGAGCGACACGAGGCAGCCAGGGGAGAGGCTGAGAGCCTGCAGCCCCTGGGAATTACAGATAGGGCTCATGTTTAGCATCACTGTTTTCAAGTAGCCATAAAAAGAAATGTTTGTAACATTTTAGGGACTGAGCTGGCTCCATTGAAATCAGCAGCATAACTCCCCCTGAATTCCACACAGAAAAGATTGAACTTTCTCAGCACGAAGGCTCTCAGGGTTATTGATTTCCTTGCTGCGATTGTTTTTACTAGAGCTAGAAACATCAGTCATGTGCACCAAACAGGGATAGATAAGCAAGAAAAACTGAAAATGTTGAGAAGAAAGTCTGCAGCTGCATCTATCATAAATTGCTCCCATTTATGTATTTCCTTCACCACTCTCATCTAAATCAGGACAAACAAAGAATTCTCTGAGATGAGATTTATGTAAACGCAAGGAACTAAAAATGCTAGTTTTCATTGAAAATTCTCAGCCTGGCATTTTTCATCATCTCCACTAAAATGAAATCAATGGCTCCAGTTTGGAGACACCTGGATATTTCCCAAGGAATTTTCTTTCCATATCTGAAAGCATCTTGTGTTCACAAAGCCACTAACAAATGAATGTGATCAGAATTACATTGATTTAAGTTTGGGTAAATAACAAACCTTGGGGAGAGGTGCAGGGCCTGATAGTTGGGTTTGCTTGGGTTTCTGTTCATATCTGCTTGATATTTTTATTTTAGAAAAGCAGAAAATACTCTATAGGTTCCTGGAAGAGAAGGGAAACAAACCCACCACTTTTCAAATGTGTTACTATTTATTAATATCCCTCATCAGACTCAACACTTCCACACAAGGGGCGTACTGCTCACCAGCCGCCCTCTGACCGCCTCTCCCGGTTAATCTTCTCCCTTATCTACGTCTTTCCAACAGAAGATGCTGAAATACCCTTGGGAGGGAGCATTTGCAGGATGGTGGTGCAGGGCTGCAGCCATGATGTTCTTGCCAGTGTGCGGCGTCTGGCACCAGAATGCCTGAGACCCGCTGTCACCAGCCACTGGTAGAGACCGTGCTTGGCAAGCCAACGGGACATGCAAAAGCACACTGCTTCCATTCAGCTACAAAACAAGTTCTAAATCTCCTTCCAGGCTGGGACAAAGCTTCTTCTGGCTGGATCCTGGCATCTCTGGAGAAAAGCCAGGTCCTGACCAGGGGTGGTGCAGCAGTGGCGGGGCTGGCAGAGGCGGCAGCCAGCAAGAAAAGCCCTCAGGCGGGTGAGCTGGCAGCACCGGGGTTGTTATTTCCAGGATCCATGAATCCTGGTGAAATAAAAGGGAAGCCTTCATCAGCTGAACATATCAGCTGCATCCTTTGGTATGAGTAGATTTAGGAAGAAGTGGCTGTGATCCTTGTAAACAACGCTGGCAGGCTTACCCACTGCCTCTCGCCGGGCACCCTGCAGCACCTTCTGGCAAGAAACTGTGGTTGCCCTTCACTGCCGCACACCTCCTTGCTGTCCGTAGGAGGCTGGCCGGAAATTTGGGTGACATGGGTGGTTATCAGTGGGGCAGCAGCACAGTTTAAGGAAGTTTTAAGCTGCTGCTGGGAGCAGTGCATCGAGCCATTAGACTGCGTCACACCCTCAAACACTCAAATGACTGATTGAATGTTGCTTAGAAATACTGTAGTTCCTTGAGCCTTCGGCAGCTATTCAGTGAAGAGCTATTGAACTATTTAGAAAGTGTCACCGTGAATTAAGTGTACCAGTAACTAATACATACATTGTAAATGTGTCATTTTATGTCAGTGGTAGTTATGTGAATTATGTGCTGTTAGTGATGTCACACAGTAGGCAGCTTGACCAACAAGTTTAAAATAAACCACTTCAAGAAAATTATCTAATTTTATCTAATGCTCTCAATTTTCAGTTTCAGCCAATATTTACCTATTCAATCAGACTGAAGTTAAAATAAAGACTGACTGATAAGTATTTGTTTAAACTTCAGAAGCCCCCTCAGTTTTCTTTTTTTCTTATCTTGGTTTTCTTGACTATCAGCTTGCTGTCACTAATTGTCACACCTAACCACTTTTCTACTAGGAAACAGCTTGGGACTGATAGGAGCCAAATATTTGGAAATCTGAGCTTTATTTGTTAAAAAAATACACCCATTCTGGGGGTGGGAAGGTAAATGAAGAGTCCCCCACTTGAACATCGCCTGCAGGACTGCTGGTCCCTGCACCGGGCTGCCCACCGCAGCCAGGGCCATGCCGCACATCAACGGCACCCACCTCTGCTTTCAGTTAATGGCAAAATGTTGCTTGACACTCGTAGGGTCCAGACTTTGTGTGGAAAGGGGCATTAGGGGATCATGGCGGGTCAATTCGCACACACCGGGGTGGAGGTGGATTTGCTGCTCCCACCGTTTGTGAAGTGGGACGAGCAGGGCGAGATCCTGGCGCATGCTTCCAGGGGATGCTCCTGCTGCTATCCCACTCCCCGGCCCACCATCGGGCTGCCTGACATCCTCCTATTTGCTTCCCTTGCTGTGTTTCTCTGCCCAGGTGATATACCGAGCCCTGTCGCCGCCTTACGCCGCAGAGGACCCATACAGCATGGAAGCCCAGGCGCAGCTGAAGATCACCAACCTGCGGGTGCGACTGCTGGAGCGGCAGGGCTGCCCCTGCCTCCCGGTGGGCCCGGCCCCCTGGCCTCCGCAGCCCTCACCACCCCTGCACTATGCTGTCTATGATTTCATCGTGAAGGGCAGCTGCTTCTGTAATGGCCACGCTGACCACTGTGTCCCTGTCGATGGATTCAAGCCTGTCAAGGCAGCTGGTGTTTTCCATGTGGTATGTACATTCACCCAACAATGTCTGCACTGTAGGAGAGCAGAGTTTTAAAAATTGTAGGGAATGGTATAGAGTATGGTATAGGTTTGAGTATATGGTATTTGATGTGTGATGCCCTGAATTCCAAGCACAGTGAGCAAAAGCGATCTTTACAAAGGAGGTGGTCTTGTGTCAGGCTGAGGTGCTGGGCTTCCCTTGTGCCCCTGCGTAGGACCAGGACTCTCAGTCTTCAAGGATGTTCCACTGTAATTTAAGTTTGTTTATTTCAAATGGATCCTTAAAATAAATTGAAGTTGCTGACTCTTCTTCCCCCAAAGGCTAACTCTCAATAGCACAATGACAGAGAGGGAGGAGAGCTTCCTTGAATGTACTAGGAATCTTGTGATTACCGTTTTTTTTCTGGAGGATCCTCAAATAGTGGGTTGGCTCGTGAACTGAGCCTCTCGCTTCCAGGCTTTCCATTGTACTTCGCGATACCTTTCTCCAAACAAAACCCCTGTGCTCCAATTTCAATGAGACTCCCATCACAAGAACTCTGAGCTCAAATCCCTTTGGACTGAGCAAGACCCAAACCCCAGTCCTCCCACATCACAGAGAAGTGAGAGCTGCTAATCTGTAGGGGAGGTGATGGGCACAACAGCAGCCAACATGTTGAACACCTGTGGCGTGGCATGCCTGCACCCTGCCAGCCTGGGGACACCCTGGTCTCGCTGCACTCAGCAGATCTTGTCCTTTCTGCCTGTCTTGGCTGGCTCTAAAAGTCCCAGCTTTGCCAGGAGAGGAGCGGTGGGGAAAGCCAAGGCACTCGTACGTATTGTGCTGAATAATATTAGAAAGGGAAAGATCATAAAAAAACCAGAAGGCAGTTACTTGAGGTAAGAAGGTCTGGCATCTGTCCAGCTCTTTGGAGAACTCTCATTTTACTTAAATTATGGTCTCAGACTTGAAGCAGACAGCATGTTTCCCTTCTAATAGAGCTAGTCTTAAAAGAGGTTGAAAATCAACCAGTTTGAAAGCGTGCGGTGCTATAATTCATCAGGCTGTTTCAAGTGGCACTGCTCTGCTTTCCACAGATGTTCCCTGAGTGAAAGTCTTTGAAAGGATCTGTTTGCTTGGGATTATTTCAGTGGGATACAGTTGCACAGGAGCATGCCCCAGAGCACCGCTGAGAGTTACCACAGAGCCTGCAGCCAAATACACTTCCAGTATGGCTATAGCCTATGGAAACCGTAGTGCGCAGGTAACAGGCGGTACTGTGGGAAGCAATCAAGTGCCAGAATCACACTGAAAACCAAAGCAAGAATGAGCAACAAGACCCTGTGCCAGCCCTGAGGGGACTGGAAATTCAACTCTGGTTATAAATGTGCATGTGGCAGGAGTCCCAAAGGTGACGTTTCTGCAGTGAGGCTGACTCATTTCCCTGTGCCTTAGAGCTTATCCCCCGTGTCCCATAGGGGATGTGCTGGTGTAAGGGTGATGTAGCCCCACTGTTTGCACGGAGGGTCATGGAGTGGTAAGATATTTCCTCGCCTGATACCACTTTTTCCACCATAGGGCTGGGGCAGGCAGGGCTGAGCCCAGTCCATGCCAGTCTCCTGCCTGGCACGAGGCTGCTGTGATTCGGGGACTGCGGTGGCACCACAGTCGTGCATACCAGTCTGGGGTTTGCTAGTGTGTTGCTTCAAGATGGGAAGAGAGGACTGTTTCCAAGATGATAGCAAGGCATGTGCATGTGAATGAGCAAAGAATGGAAGATTGCGGGGTCTGTGGCTGATTAGCTGGGAGAAGTCAGAGACGCTTCTGAAAAGGGAGCAGGATTTCAGAGGAGGAGTGTTTTTGTACATTTCACCTAACAAAGTCATATAAAAGATAATTCTGAAGAATTACGGCCAGTTATTCAAGTGTGAGATCGGGCCATCAGTCTAGTCTTTATGTAACTGTGTCTATATTGGGTTTTAGCAGAATTTTCACTGTAAAACCAAGGTCAGTAAAAGCTGGGAAACACATTATCATTTCCCGATATGGTTATAAAATCTATCTGCATTTTTATGCTTGTTTTGACCAGAACACTCCTGTAGAATATCTCCTGAGTTAGAGAGTTAACATCAAATTGTAAGCAAGGTTAAGAACCTTTAAACAAAATAAAATTTTTCCAGAAAAAATGTGTTCAAGTTTTCTTAAACCCCTACTTGGTCTCAGCCCACAGACAGGCTTAGTTTCAGTCCCTGCTTGGCCAGCAGAATACCCGGATGTGTTATATTTGTTTTTCTCTCGGGTTGCTCTGGGCAGTAAGCCGGGCTGTCCTGGCAGCACTGGGCATAGCTTCCAAGTCTCGGACAGATTTCACAAAGCGACCAGAAGCATTTCAGCCGTCTCACTCAGAGAGGATCTGCAAAGCTTCATGGGGATGCAGGGCTGCTGCTTGGGCAGTTTTGGTGCAGGGACACGACCCAGGGGGCTGATGCTCTACTCAGCTCAGGACATCAGCCCAGCTCGCTGCCATGGGATGCATTTTTTCTCAAGGGCTGGGCCATTGTGTGCTGAGAAGCTGACAGTTCTGAAGGTAAATACTCTGACTGACTGAAGGAAAGCTAGAAGTTCAGCTTGGCCATGAGATAATACTGACCCAGGACACCCTTGGGGCATAGCGATGGGATGTGAACAGACTGGTGCCGTGGACAAAGAAGGGCTCCTTCCACCCCAGGAGAAGCAGTTCTAGCTCTGTTCACTGGTGTGAGATAACCTCCTTTGCGACTCCCCTCAGTTGAGTCAGAGCAAAAGTGGACTTTACAGAGTCCAAACATTCACTGTGAGAAAAAAAATATTTAATATTAGCCCCAACAGCAAAAAGCAATAGCCAGGGCCTGATAAAAGAAGAGGTTTGTTTCTGTGGCCTCACCACCGTCCAGCTGCAAAACTCTCTGTGATGCTCCTCTCTATGGCAGTCACTGGGTGGGTATCCAGAGCAAAGCTTGCAGGCAATTCGCCCAACCCACCCTCTCTCCTAAAGGAGAAAGGAATTTTTGCAGGAAAGCTCTGGGTTCATTTGAGCGTCAGAAATGCTATTTCAGCCTTTAGGTGAATTCTGAATATACAGGTGGGGCTCCTGCTCTAGGGGAGGGTGTCTCTCCATGAGCTGCAGGGGAAGACTGCAGAGAAGACCTGGCTGCCTTCCAGTGACGGCAAGGGCTGCTCCTCGTGGGCAGTGTGATCCTGACTGCCCCTTGTTACACACTTGTGTGCAACAGACAGCTGTCAGGACGATACAGATACACCTCCTTCTCTTTCCGGCTCCTCCCAAATTTGTTCAAAGGGTCACTACCCAAATCTCATCAACAACAGCCCAATGCATGCCGAGGAATAAACGTGCATGGACAAACGCACCTCACACTGTACCATGCAAAGTGGTTGGATCAGTTTCTGAGCTGCATTGTTATATATAAATGCTGAAATTATATATATTTCAACAGTCTGTCGTGCCTGCGTCTTCTCCAGGAGGTGGCCATGAGGCAGGATGCAGGGAGCTAGGGGAAGGCAAAGCCCCAGCGGCGTCCCCCCTCCTCCAGCCTTGGGATTCTTGGGAATCTGCTTGCACTACATGTGAACCACCAGTGCAAGTAGAGAAATGGAGTCACATACACAAGAGATTCCTCCTGATCTCAAGTGGCCATGAGAAGACTATTTTTCCATCTGATCTGTAGTGTAGGAGCTTCTCACCCCTTGCCAGTACCTCTGCACATGGAGCTATTGGAGTACATGCCTGTCCCCTTACCAGCTAAAGCATCCCCATGGCCTGCTTGCAGCTATGGCAAAGGTTGTGAAAGAGGAGATCAGCCTGCACATAAGTAGGATCATGCAATTTATGACTCCAAAGTGAGGAAAGCAAACCCAACAACACCTCACCTGGGCTGTGCAGTTCTGTCTTAAGGTGAGGGCAGGAGTTCACTCACCTCAGAGACTCCGTGGCCCTACTTGTCTGCAGAATCCTGTGACAGCTGAGTGGTATTCACGACTGGCCTGAGTCATCAGTCTTAGAGAGCTGTGTCCTTGCTGGGGCTTTCTGCTTTACTCCTGTGAGATGAGATCCCATTATCAATTGATGACTTCATTATCTCACTGATAATCCAGTATTATCAACTACTTAATGTTTCCTGCTCTCTCCTGCCTTTCCCCTCCTGCACTCCCGCTAGTACCAGTCTGTTTACTTAACCCACGACAACATCCTTCACCTGCACTGAACAGAGGAGAACAAACAAAGCGGTCTGGTTTTGTTTATGCTCTTGTTCTCTTTTTCCCTCAATGACAGCTTTAATAACATGATACAGCAGCTATCCTCGCTCTGAAGAAAGGAAGTGGGAAATTAGAACTTAGGGATGAAGAAGCTTCAGTGGACTTAAGACATGTGCCCAAAGCAGTTTGATGCGGTGCTGCTGCCAAACTGCTCCAATTACGCATATATGCTTCTTTAGTAGTCCAAGGTGCTGCGTCAGTGTAAGTCAAGGACTTTTCCAGGAACTGTGCTTTATTTTCCAGGTTGAACAGACAAACCAGTTAAGGAACCTGGTCACTGAATATATCTGAGCTTGATTCATGGCAGCTGCCAGACAATTAGGCACCAAACCCCAGATATACCTCATCTAATTTTAGGCATGCAGTTGATGTAGCCAGGTTAGCCAGCAGATCTCCACAGGCTCATTCCACACTTATGAAGGGATTGGGGGGATACAGCATAGCTGGGATCCTGGGTAGACTGAGCTACCATGCTAAAGCACTTCTCTATAGTCAGGCAGGGTGAATATTCCTCCCACTTCCCATGTGGCCAACCCAGCGGCTGTTATAAATTGTTACCATGTTACTGCCATCAAAAGATGCTGAAGGTCTTCTCCAGCAGCACTGACAGAAGCCTATTGTACAAGGAATTAAAAAAACCCGCCAGACAGCTCCCACACCCTGGACAACAGGCTTTGTATTCTTTCACAAGAACAAGATAGGATATGAGA